ACCTGGGAACACACATATCTCTATGAGATACTAAGTTAATTTCCATTGAGAGGGACTGCTGGGGCATATGGTAATACTTTGAAGTCTTCATACTGTTTTCTGTAATGGTTGTAGGAATTTACATTCCCACCAACAGTGTACAAAGTTCCCTTTTCCTAAACCCTCACTAACACTTGTCATCCTTTGGCTTTTTGAAAAGAGCCATCCTGGTATGAGGAGGCAACTCACTGGGGACTGATTTGCATTTCCCTGCTGACTAGACACATGAAATTTATGTTTTCACAAGCTTTCCATCTTTTAAAATATTTTTATTAAATTTTATTGCTTTTGCATGCATGTGTGTGTGGTGGGGCTGCACATGCCATGGTGTATATGTGGAGGTTCGAGGACAACTTTGGAAGTCAGCTCTCTTATTCCACCATGTGATTTCTCCAGGGATTAAATCATTGCTTTAGAGAGGCTGTTCAGACCACACAAACTTGAAGTAATTTCACATCGGCAGGTCTCAGCTGGCTCCTAGCACTCAGTGCAGTAGATTAGGAAGCAAATTGTGTCCCCTTAAGGGACTGTCAGGCACAGTATGACTGATAGCCAGACTTAGAATGACTCTAGGGCTCAGATAGGTGTCCAGCTAGTTTTCTCACATACCAAAGATGCATTATGTTCTAAATTAAACCTCTGCTCAGACACTTACTTCCCTCAGTTTTTGAGGTCCCAATTGTATTATCTCTGCCCTTTCTCCCAGTAATGGTTTGAGGTTAGGCCCTCACTTATCATGTCTCCCCAATGGCTCCTTTGCCTCCAGCCTCACCCCACCCCCTTTCTACTCCCTTAGATATGAAGTGTCCATTCTTATAGGTAAAGATCATCCTGATGTTCTCTGCTAACATGCCGAGATGGCTTTGCCTGCCAGAAAGAAATTGCCTTTGAGCACTCACAGTAGAAATCTAGTTATGCTTGTTTAACTAAATAAAGATTTACCTTTCTTGTGCTATGAAAAGTGCCAAGAGTAGGTCCAGTGAGGTGGCTCAGAGGATAAAGGTGCTTGCCTCGCAAGCCTGAGCTCGATCCCCAGAGCCATATAAAGGTACAAGATGACAACCAAAGCCACAAAGTTGTCCTCTGACCTCCACATGTACACTATAACATGCATGTACCCACAGACTTGCATCTCAAACACACACATATACACACACAGACACACACGATTTTTTAAAAAGTGCCCAGAGTAGCCTATTCCCACTGACAACTGTTGGCGACTTCTTTTGTTGTTTCTGTTTCTGTCTTACGACATGTAATGTACATTGATGATACAAATATACTCAAAATAGAACTTTTACTACAGTGAGACCTAAGCTCCCCTGGTGACTCTTATGGACAGCCAGGGCTGACAACCCATCCACTTGGGTGCCTTTGGTTAACAGCTCCACCCAAGATGATGCCAACAGCCACAGGTAGGTCTTAAACCAAGCTGGACCTACTGAACAATGTATGACATGCATTGTTGTCAAGATACATAACTGTTCAGCTAACTCTCAAGCTATAAACTGTTTATCCTAGGCTGTTTACTTCTGCTTACTGACAATGTAGATTCATTTTTGTATTTTTCTCCTTTACTTTCAAAAATGCCTCTGACACTTCATGCTTCTCTGGTATAATCTCGCAGTTTTTGTTTATTTGTAATTGCTTAGGTTTTGTTATATTTATTTATGTTTAAACATATGCAGGTAGGACTCCAGCCACTTTTGACTTTCTAATTTGTGCTTTTGTTATTAGTGGTATTTGTTTCCTGGCATTAAAATTAACTGTTTTTCATATCTGATTTATTATTTTTATGCGTATTTTATGTCTTTGCTTGTATTGCCTGCATATATTTAAGATTTAAGTGCACCTCTGTCGTTCAATGTCCAAGGAAGACAGAAGAGGACATTGGAGCCCTTGGAATTGGAGTTACAGATGGTTGTTAGCCCCATATGGGTACTGGGATTCAAACCTAGGTCTTCTGTAAGAAGTCAGTGCTCTTAACTGCTGAGTCATCTCTCCAGCGCTCTGTGTGTGTGTGTGTGTGTGTGTGTGCGCGCGCGCGCGTGTGTGTATTTTAACTATGCTTCTGTGAGATTTTACTTAGTTCTGGCATTGTTCTATAAGTCATATAAAAAGTAGGTGTTTTGTGAGGTCCTTAAGAGCAAAGGCCTTGGTGACAGTCTGTCTGTGGTTTATGATATGCAGGAGGTTAAAAAAACCCTACAGATGACTGAGAGTGACGGAGTAAAAGGGGACTGTTTGGGTCACAGAAGTAAAATATTTTAGGGACAGAGAAGGATGAGACAAAAGGGAAAATAGAAGAATTGGTGCTCCCCTCCCCCCTGGCAAAAAAGGAAAAGTAGAAATTGGGCAGTGAATTTCTGCTCCACCTTGTCACTAACCTCTTACCCACAGAAGTCCCCAACACAGAATCGCCTTCAGGACACACTACAAACTGCTGCATCGAGCTGGGCACAGGGTAAAGCCTGTCTGGGTTACCAAGTGAGTTCAAGACTAGACTGGGTAAATTAAAAAGTGAAAACAAGCTGGGGGCGTAATTCAGTGCTAGAGCGCCTGCCTAGCATGTGCCTGGTCCTATGTTCAGCTCCCAGCGCCACAGAAATCTGCTGAGTCATTGGCAGCAACTGAAATAGGATCTGAGGTGCCTGTCTCATCACTCCTGAGGGAATCAGGGTTACTGTGTGGACAAGCCACATTCTGACTGCCACACAAGCCCCATTCCAGCACGCAGGACTTTGATAATCCACACTACCAGGATTCTGTTGGTTCCTGAGATGATTCTTATCAGAAGTGGCTTGGAATAAGAGCAAATGTTTTGAAATTCCATGTCTGAGTCCACACTCCTTCCTGTCCCCAGTTCAAACTACATGGGCTTCATTCTGAAGCCAGATTACAGACAGGAGCACCCCAAAGCCATAGAAATATCAAACTTGGAATGAATGAATTGGCCTCCCTAAAATATTTACAGTGCTGACACAAGAATATGGGAAACATTTAGAAGCCACAGGAAAAAAAAGAAAAAAGATGTCACGTATAAAAGCAACACAGCTAAATTCCATCTACCTGCCTTAACAAATATATCTTTATAAAGAGCAAAGGGCAAGTTCAAATTTGGAATTCGTGGACTTTGAGTTGTGCACAGGAAGGTGGCAGGGCAGAGCTTGCTGCCTGCCCCTGGCCTTTCCTCTCTTCCCTTACCATTGTCACACTGGGAAAGCCCTATGGTTAGCCCATCTGTGTCCCCATGGTGGCAGAGTCTCTTTTTGTCCCATTTAAAAGGTCCTGTAAACCAAACAGGGCTGTTAGGGTAGGGAATGCCAGGGTCATGAACATTGCATCAGTGTTCCAGGACAGGAGCTGTCAGGCTAGGGCTAGGGCAGAAATCGTGCCTACTACGTGCAAGGCCCTAGGTTTAATACTAGCATCCCCTGTCCAGCTAACAAAAGGACAGCTGGTCATGTCTGGAGACAGTTTTGGTTGTTACAGCCTGGAGGCAAGGAAAGGATGCTTCTTGTATTTAGTAATGACCAGGGGAGATTCCACAGCCAGGAATTATCCCGCTAAAAATGTCAACAGTGCAAAAGTTACATAACATGAAAATTTAAATACCAAACCATTAAAATCCCTTAATCTTGTTCTAGAAGGAGATGTGAGGTTCTAGATGGGTACAACGTCTTGGTTTCATGGGCAAGATGTTGCCTGAGGACAGACAGGACAAGCCCTCTACAGAGTAGGACTCTCATGGGGACTCCCTTGTACAGGTAGGTATAAGGTTGGTCCTAGAGAGGCAGCTCAGAACTCCTCTAACCCTGTGGGACATGAAACCCTTCCCTGGTTTCCCAGGATCTGTCTGACAATTTCAGAAGTTGTAATCATTCAGGGCAGGCTCTTTGTACCCAAGGCCTGCTTTCTTGGCAAGTACAATGAACTGAAATCCAACTCTGTAACTTCCTGGAACCCAAAGAAAGTTTGGCATTGGGCAAAGGGCCTTTGGCTGGGATTTGTGTTTATGTAACTCTTAAGTATATATGCAAGTTATCTGCACAATACTAGTAAGAACAACACGCAAAAATCATATACATATATCATCTGTTTTATCTTAAGCAAATTTAGGGGTTATTTTTGGTTGTGAGCCTGAACCTTTCACTGCTGCGCCACCTCTCCAGCCCTAGGGTTTATTTTTTAGAAAGGTTTTTAATATAGATTTAAGCATGGGCATTAAGGAGTGTGTGTGTATTGGGGGCGGCATTTAAGTGAAGGACTCTAGTAGTAGGGGCTTGGAATGTGAGCGGTGTAGCTCACTGCCAAGACACACCAGGGCCTGCTGTGGGCCTGTTTTCCTCTGAGTTGGATGTGATCGTTGTTATCTTGGATTAAAGCAGCTGGGACTGCTCTGAGACACAGGATGGGGTCAACTAACATTTACTTGTGACAGAAGGGGAAAGTTTATGAGGCCCCACTCCTTTCTAAAGGTATGTAAGTAGCTAGCCCTTGCTAGGAGAGGGTTTTCTGTGGTGAAATTCTCTATTCTACGTCTTTCTGGATATTTCTGGGCACATAAATAAGCATATTTTTTGCTTTTCCTTTTAAAAATATTTTAATATTTTTTATTTTATGCATATGAGTGTATTGCTTGCATGTATGTAAGTGCACTCGAGTCATGCAATGTCATGGATCAGAAAATTTCCTGGAACTGTTACTGGAGGTTGTTAGCTGCCATCTGGGGGCTAGGAATCGAACCCAGGCCCTCTGCAAGAGCAGCCAGTGCTCTTAACCACTGACCCATCTCTCCAGCCCTGCTTTCTACATTTTATACATCGTCAGAAAAACCAATGCCAAACGATAAAATTACAAACCATGAAGAGCAACCATATTGGTGCATCCCAAATTTGAAACACCAAAGAGGCGCCAAGAACAAAGTCAGTCACAACTCTCTACATCAAATGGCTTCAGACCTTTAAGACGCACACGCAGGGCTCACGTTCTCGGTGTACGTAGTGTCCTTCGTGGCCGCCACCGCGGGAGCCAAAAAGTCGCTTTCCGCGGGCTGCTTCTTTCTCGACCTTTCTCTCAGCACGAGCGCTCAAGCAGCACGCGAGAGCCGCGGCCCCGCCCCCAGCAGGCCCCGCAGTCCCCGAGCCGCCGTAAGGGTGGGCAGAGCCCGAGGTCAGTGATTGGTTCCACGCCAGGGTGGGCGTGACCAGGCGCTCCGACCTATAAAGCGGCGGCGCTGCGTCCTCCTTCGCGTGCGCCGGCGTGTCCTGTAGCGGCTCCTGAGGCGGTTCCTGTCGGCTGTTTTCGCTTGCGCTCCTCAGACCGTCAGGTCTCCGTGTGAATCATGGCGATGAAGGCCGTGTGCGTGCTGAAGGGCGATGGCCCGGTGCAGGGCACCATCCACTTCGAGCAGAAGGCAAGGCTAGCGCTAGCAGCTGAATGGAACCTGGAGACGCGGGGCCTGGGCTGCGCTCGCCACGCCCCCCCTCCCTCCCGCGGCCTTGGGCCGGGCCGCTAGCCAGCCAGCGCCGCCGAGTGCTGAGTCACGCGCGGCCTGGGGCGCGGGCTGGGCCGGGCTGGGGTGGGCTGGGGCGGGCAAGGTGGGAGGGCGTGGGTGGCCGTTCCCTTGTGGGGCCTTTTCCGGGGCTGCAGGCGGCTGTCTGCGGGCGGCGGGGCTCTCCCAGGTTATCCTGGCTTCCGCTGTCTCTCTGGGGTATGGGCTCGGAGCTACGCAGCCGGCGCCTTTGGGGTTGGCGGGAGCCAGGGGCTCACTGTGTACCCAGGCGAACCGCCTGCCTCCGCTTCCCGGGTGCTGGGGTTCGAGGCGTGCGCCACCATGCCCCATGTTGTGTTTTTAAAATATTTTATAATGGTGGTCACCGCAGCAGAGCGAGTGTGGCGTCTTAAAGGAACGTGCCGGGCCAGCCTGGGTAACCGAAGTGGCCTTGCGTGGTCGTCGGGTGAAGTCACCTCGGGAAAGACACGTTTCTGAGCAAATTCTGGAAGATCTCTAGAAATATTGTCAGATTTACTGCAAAAAGATACATGTCGCAAAGAAAATAATTTGAGCTAAGATTGTGTCCAGAACCTTAGGGAGGTTACTACTATCTGGAGGATTGTCCTACTTGGCTTCATCACCGGGCAGTATTTGGTACATGGATGCGATTTAGCCTTTAGTGTTTATGTAAATGTCAGAGGGCACCGACCGTGGCGTATGCAAACGTCTCCTTCGTGGACGGAGAATTGGTCGTTTAAGCTTGTTTTTTTTTTCTTTCGCAGTCTGCACGTCTTCGGAAGTTTGGTTTGGCATTTGAATGCATCTTTCTGTTTCCTGCCTCAGCCTTTATCTCTTTTTTTCTCCTCCCCGCATGGTTCACCACTTGGAGACAATCTTAGGAAGTCTCCGAGTTGTCCATCTTTTCTCCAGCCATGAGAGCTATGAAGATCAGACGAAGGTCCACACTATCTGGGTTCCTTCCCCGGAGCAGCTGGCAGGATTCTTTAGTTAAGCTGCAATCTTCCTATCACTGGTGCCCTTTGTACTGGCTAAAGACCCTTGGATAGTTAGGCAGTTTTATTGGTAGTTATAATATATTGGTGATAACTATTTGGTTTAAGCTGTTCGGTGTTTAAAGTTGTGGCTTAGTTGGCAACTTTTGAAAATCAGAATTTTTCTACTTTTAAGTACAGATTCCCCATCATTTCTTGAGATGTGCTCATACTGAGTGCATTAACTCAGATGGTGCTTGGCTGTGATAGTTTATATTGTTTATCAGGCCTGTGCCACTCACTTGAAATGTTTGTTTGCGCTATAGGCTTGTAACCCAGGCATCTTCCTTTTGAAGTACTGTGCTGTAAGCAGAGGTTTGTAACAGCAGAGCGGCAGGCAGTGTTAACGGTTCATATCTCCCAGATTTAAAGATTCTGTTTTGAAGAATTATAGTATTTTCAGAGAAAAGTAGTTGGCAGGATTCTTACTCTAAGCACTGCTTAAAGCATTCCTATGGAGATTTTAATGCTGCCCACTGAAGGAAGTTTTTGCTGGACTAGGCTTAATGAGAGAATATTTAATGTGTGAATGTGACAGTGTATCTTAATCCTTAAATTGGTTTACAGAAGTGTGAGAGGGCAGGAATACTAGTGCATGCAGGATCTGAAACGATGCACGAACAGGCACTTGGATACAGTTTTGTACCTGTTGTCTGGCTGTTTAAAGTAAAACGAGTTAAAAAGAGGATGCCAGCAGTGCGTATTGTTGTGATTGTTTGCCCTGTTTGTCAGTTGGTAAGATTTCTCTGGAGCTTTACTCAATTGAATTTTGGATGTAGCCTTGCAGTACAGTTCTCCATCCCCCTGCCCTGGGTGGCAGGTGATACTGCTTTGATTTCTACACCTGTTGTAGTTGTCGTTTATTTTAGTAAGTGGGAAGTTATCTAAATTTCACTGCGCCCTGGGAATCTGGAGAGATGGTTTTAGTGGTTAAGTGGGCTTTCTGTTCCAGAGGACCCAAGTTCAGGCCCCAGCACTCATGTGAGTGGCTCACAACTACCTGATTTCTCTGGAGCTTTACTCAATTGAATTTTGGATGTAGCCTTGCAGTACAGTTCTCCATCCCCCTGCCCTGGGTGGCAGGTGATACTGCTTTGATTTCTAGTACAGTTCTCCATCCCCCTGCCCTGGGTGGCAGGTGATACTGCTTTGATTTCTACACCTGTTGTAGTTGTCGTTTATTTTAGTAAGTGGGAAGTTATCTAAATTTCACTGCGCCCTGGGAATCTGGAGAGATGGTTTTAGTGGTTAAGTGGGCTTTCTGTTCCAGAGGACCCAAGTTCAGGCCCCAGCACTCATGTGAGTGGCTCACAACTACCTGTAACTCCTGCTTCAGAGGCTACATGCCCTCTTTTGGCCTCTGTGAGAACCGGCACACCCTTGGCATATTCTCACACATACAAATACGTAAAAAAATAAAAATTAACTAAAAATAATTAATCTAGCTCTGTTTAGATCCAAGTGGGTTCCTTCAGGAGCAGTGGGATAGGATATTTTCTGACTACTAAGAAAAAATATGAGAGTGACTAAACATACTGAGTACAGAGTGGAGAACAAGAATCCTGGGGTAGTCCATTGACATTTCTGGGTGTTCTCTTTTCACCTCAGACAAGATTGTATCTGCCCTATGGAAAGTGCTTGCATGAAGAAAGAGCAAAAGGCTAATGAGTAGACGATTATCTTTTTAGATGAAAAGGTTTTGAGTTATATAAGTGGTGAAGCAGTGGCCTAGCATGTGTGAGGCCCTAGGCTTGATCACCAGGCATGCGCGCGCGCACACAAACATACGTGCATGTGTACTCTCGCTTTGATATGTACACACTTACCATGTACAAATATAACCTATTCAAAAGTATTTATTAAATAAGTGTTCACCCATATTCATTTTAAGAGTCAAGCCCCTAGGGGCTGGAGAGGTGGCTCAGCAGTTAAGAACACCTGCTGCTCTTGCCGAGTACCCAGGTTTGGTTTCCAGCACCCACATGGCAGCTCACAACCTCTGTAACTGCAATTCTAGGTGATTCAGTGCTCTCTTCTGGCCTCCAAGGGTACCAGGCACACTCAGGTTGCATATAGATAACATGCAGCCAAACACTCAAACATACAAAAAAGTATTTTTGGAAAACAGTGTCTTAACATGTAGCCCTGGCTGCCCATTATGTAGACCATTGGAACTTACAGAGATCTGCCTGTCTCTGCCTCCCAAGTGCTGGGATGTAGCACCACAACCAGCCCCTCAAAAGTGCAGTATCCATTTATCCCTGAATCCCTGAACTCTTGCTGCTCTGCTGGGTGCTTTACTAAAAAAAGGATTTTTGTTTTTATTTGTATGAGTGTTTTGTCTGTGGGTACCATGAACATGCAGTGCCCAAGGAATCCAGAGAGGGCGGTGGATCAACTGGGTGCTGGGAACCAAACCTGTGTTCTCTGTAAGACCAGCAAGTGTTCTCAATGGCTGAGCCATCTCTGCAACTGGGTGCTTTTAAAATGCTGTTCAATCCAAGGTGCCTGGCCACATGATACCTGGCAGTAAGTAAGTATTAAGCACTTTTTATTTAAAAAAAATATTTATTTTATGTGTATGGGTGTATTGCCTGCATGGAGGTAGGTGTACTCACTTTGTGCACTGCCCACGGAAGTAGAAGAATGCTTCATATCTCCTGGAACTGGAGTTAGTAGATGGTTGTTAGTTGCCACGTGGGTGCTGGGAATCGAAGCCAGGTCCTCTAAAAGAGCAACCGGTGCTCTTAACTGCTGAGCCATCGCTCCAGCCCTATTTTATTTTTTTTAAGATTTAATTTTTTTGGGCTGGAGCGATGGCTCAGTGGTTAAGAACACTGGTTGTTCGTGAAGAAGACCTGGGTTCGAATCCCAGCACACACCTGGCAGCTGACAACTGTCTGTAACTCCAGTTCCAGGGGATCTGACAGCGTCTTCTGACCTCTGCGGGCATTGCACGATGTGGGTGCACTTATCTACATGTAAGCATAACACTCATACACATAAAAAAATAAAAAATAAATAAAATTATAAAAATTAAACATTTAATTTTTTAAGTTTTATGTATATGAGTGACTTTTTTTTTTTTTTTTTTTAATACAGGGTCTCACTGTGTAGCCCTTGCTGGCTTGGAACTCAGTGTGTAGACCAGGTTGACTTTGAACTCACAGAGATCCACCTGCTTCTACCTCACAAGTTCTGGGATCAAAGGCGTGTGCCACCATCCCTGGCACAGCCCAGTGTATGAGTGTTTTGCCTTCCACGTATGTTAGGTACAGTACATGTGTGCCCCCCTGGTTCCTATGGAGGCCAGAAGAGGGTATCAGATCTCTGGAACTGGAGAGCAATGTTAATTGCCATGTGGGTGTTACAAATGGAACTCAGGTCCTCTGGAAGAGCATCAAGAGCTCTTAACCATTAAGCCATCTCTCCGGGCCCCAAGCACTTCCCTTTTGATAGGGACAGAGGCTTGGAGCTAAGCAGCTTGCTAGAGAGTCACTTGTTGGAAAGTGGGTGTACCTGGATATGTATACAGGTTGCTTTGACTCTCATACGTTTTACAGTGAATGGTAGGTAAAGCAACAATTTCCTTCGTTTAGAAGTATTTGCATTCAAATTTAATGCCTTTTTTATATTGAAAAAATATTATTTCTTTAAATAAAGGCAAGCGGTGAGCCAGTTGTGGTATCAGGAAAAATCACAGGATTGACCGAAGGCCAGCATGGGTTCCATGTCCATCAGTTTGGAGATAATACACAAGGTAGGTCTTATGCTGGCTAGTGACTATCTTTCCCTGATTTAACCAGTCATATAAGTAGGACTAAGTCAAGTAACTCCTAACCATTAAAAAACTTCAACATTTATTTTTCTTTAAAGATGAAGTGAAAGTGACCACTAAGGTCAATCTTGAGAAGATTAGCTAATAAAAGCAGTCTTTGACTCTTTTAAGTATGGGAGGATGTTTTTTGTTTTTTATGAGTAAAAAAAATTAAATTACTCTGTGTATGTGGGCAGGTATGCGTAGGTACCCAAGGACTCCAGAAGTAGGTGTTCAATTCCTTGGAGCTGGAGTTAGAGGTAGTTGTAAACTACTTGATGTGGATACTGGGAACCATACTTGGGTCCTGTCTTCTGCAAAAGCAGTACATAAGCACTGAATTACCTTTCCAGCCCCAAGTTGTTTTTTGTTGTGATTATGACTTGAATTTTTGAAAAAAAAAAATACGCTTGTTGCCTATTTTGGGTAATGTTCCTAGGTGTTTAGAATGGGAGGTTAGGATGGATGCTTTAGGCAGTTTGAGAACAGCCTCAGCAACTTAAGTGGAACAGAAGTGGTGCAAACTGTAGAATGTAGATGCTTGGTGCTTTGGAAGAGTTCTGAGTTTGGATTAGAAGCAAGTGAGAAAAAAGTTGTGGGTTAAATTGCATTTAGTGATCTTTTGCCATACTTGAGTAGTAATCTGAGCTTTATGTTTACAAGCTTATAAGAACCCAGTTTATTTTGCTAGAGCTTGTGTGTCCTCTGATCCCTCCATTCCCTTTTTCCTTTTCCTCTCCTCTGACCCTCCCCTCTTTTCTTCCTCCATCATCTTCTGTTTCTCTCCCTTCTCCATGTAGCCCAGGCTGGCCTAGAATTTGGTGTGTAGCTGAGGCTGGCCTAGTAACTCCATCCTCCTCAAGTCCTTTTTTTTTTTTTTTTTTAAATATTTTTTTATGTGTGAGTGTAGTGCCTGCATGTGTATGTAAGTGCACCCATGTCACACAATGTCCAGTGGAGGTCAGAAGAGGGCATGGGATCCCCTGGAACTAGAATTACAGTTGGTTGTTAGCTGCCATGTGGATGCTGGGAATCAAACCCAGGTCCTCTGTAAGAGCAGTAGGTGCTTTTAACCAATGAACCATCTTTCCAGCCCCCTTCGAGGGCTGGGATTAGACATGCCCCTTCAGAACCTGTGTGTAATGTGCCCTCATTTGATTCAAATGGTTACTTAATGACCAGATTTGATCCATTTCGGTAATTACTAAAATTCTCCAAGTTACTTTGCCTTTGGATTGGTAGGTGATAGCGCTGGTAACTGTGACTTCCTAAATCTTGCCCTGTATATTCCTCCCCTGGGCCCGGGTGGAACTGTAAACAGTGGAAACTTTATCTTAGCTGATGAATAAAAAAAGCTCTGCCTGAAAAGGACTTTGCATGGTTCAGTTGTGTTCCCTGTGAATGGCATCCCTTGGCCCACAGGGAGTACCTGTGATACTGGTTGCTTCGGACTGTGTCTCCCTGGAGTTTTGTAAGTCGGCAGTCTTGGCCCTTGTACACAAGGCCCTCTTTAACATTCTGCCTGCTCTTAAGATGATAGACAAGAGAGCTTTGGTGGTATAAAGGCTTAGTAACAGGTGTTTTTTTTTTTTTTTTTTGGTCTTTTTGAGCCAGGGTCTCCCTGTAGCCCCAGCTGTCCTGGAACTCACTGTGTAGACCAGGTTGGCCTTGAACTCACAAAGATCCGCCTGCCTCTGCTTCCCAAGTGCTGGGACTACAGGTGTGTGCCACCATACCCGGCTAGGGACATAGTTTTTATGTCGTGAAGACCTCCTTAAAAGTCCAAGATCATAATTATAGGATTTTAACTATATAAAAGAACCATTAAATCAGGTCTGTCTCACAATGAGAAAGCCAGAGCCAGGCATGGTATGGCACTCTGCTATTCCCAGCACTTGAGAGGCTGAGGCAGGAGGATCACCAGTTCAAGGTAGCCTGGGCTGTATAGCAAGACTGTCTCAGAACTCAAAAACAACAAAAGAAGAAAGATGATAAAGCCCATGAAAGACTAGTTGTCATTCTGCAGCCCCACTGTTCATACCAAGTTGTTGCTTCCTATTTTTTTGTTAGTCCAAAATCATGGCAGGTTGGTGCTTTCTGCCGTTGAGGTTTTAAGCAATGAACATATTCTTTGTTCAATATATTTTGGAATTTTGATTAATAAGTGATTATCTGTTTTTTGGTAAATAGGTTGTACCAGTGCAGGTCCTCACTTTAATCCGCATTCCAAGAAACATGGTGGGCCATCGGATCAAGAGAGGTGAGTAGCATGCTTAGCTTATGTGGGAATGGAGAGGGCTTTGCTTAATGCTGTGGTATGCTAAGTGGTCTCCCTACCTTTGCTTTTAAATTTGTCGTCACCCACACAAATCCCCTATCCCTAAGTGCTGGAATGGTTTATTCTGAGTAAAGGAGTTGACAAATGGGGACTCTAAAAATGATTTGGTTTTGTAGCATTTATTGAACATAGAACTAATACAAGTGTCAAAGGGAACCAATACAGGAGAGTCATGAATAACAGTAGCAAAATAAATCATTGTGAAACAGGACACTTCTGCAGATAAAAACCTGATAATGAGAACTAGTTGGGACTCCATTTATGTGAAAGCCATTCAGGAACATCCTAAGTCTAAAGACCAGGGTTGGTTTATTTCTGTAACGGAGGCCTAGGGGCATAGCTTCCCTACGCTAACTCAGTAGCTGAGAGAGTACCCTTTGCTTCCATACCTCTGAAATAGGTGTGCCCCAAACTGTGACTTCTCAGAGCATTACTTTGTGTAGACTTGAAGCCTTGATTAAAAAGCTTTGTGTTCAAGCTACTTGTTCTTAAATTTGTGTTTCCTAATTTTTTGTCCATCTGGAAAGTGGTCTTCCTTGGTATATACTGTATATTTCCTTCTCTGCCCTTATGTATTTGTTTCAGTCAAATGTTAATTTACTCATGAACTGTATTGTGTTTGAAGTAGAAATCAGTGCTTACCCGTCTGCTGCTATTTGAATGTTAGGCATGTTGGAGACCTGGGCAATGTGACTGCTGGCAAAGATGGTGTGGCTAATGTGTCCATTGAAGACCGTGTGATTTCACTCTCAGGAGAACATTCCATCATTGGCCGTACGATGGTGGTAAGAACTTACATGAGATTTCTTCCGACATAGAATTATGTACCTTTTCATGACTTCATGATAGTTAAACTGGTTTCTAAAGATTCACATAAATTGTACTTTGAGTTCAGAATAAGAAAATTTTTTTTATTGGAATATAGTAGTGAGGATGAATTAATTTACTTAGGTCAGTTAAGAACATTGTTCTAAGATGCAGTATAAAGCAGGTTACATTTGATCATATTAGATCTGAATTGAGGAAACAGAAGTAGTCTTTAAACAGCCAGATTTTCTTGCCTTTACGGTTAAACCTCACTGTTGAGTCTAAAATCTGCGATGGATTTCAGTATAGTCACATCTGTAGGTTATCATCACTTGGTTACCATATGGGAGCCGTCTTCCCAAGTTACCCTTGGGAGCTGAATCTGGTTCCTGCAGAGCACCAAGTAGTACAGGCTCTTGCCCCCCTCAGGCAGCTAACTTTCAGTAGGCACTTCCTTTCAGTTGACCCTTTATCCTTAGCATTTTCTTCAGCCCTATTGGTGAAGCAGAACAGTCATTTATAAATGTTCCAAGAGTAAAATTTAAAATCTTGTTACTAAATAGATATTTTTAGAATTGTCTCTTACTTGTAGGCCTATAGTTCATTGATCATGAAATTTTGATAGCAAAGAAATTTGAAAGAATGACTACTATTAATAAAGATTAGTTTTTTTGAGGGGGGGAGGCTAACAGCAGCATGTAGTCTGTAACAGTCACTTGGGCTCTTAGTGTTTAATTTAGTATTTACCTAGAATTTAAAGGTAACATACCTTTGCTACCAGTGAGTATTTAATTTAGTATATACCTAGAATTTAAAGGTGTAACATACCTTTGCTACCAGTGAGGAAAACTTAGTAGTCTACTTTTAAATCGCTGTACAAATAATAGCTTATTTCTTTAGTAGGATTATTTGAACACATTTTTCAATTACGTATTTAAGTAGTCCTTTAAAGTCTTTGGGTATTGCTGGGAAGAGGTGGTATTTACAGGAAAGCCTGAAGTTGAATGTTCATTTTTTTTTTTCAAAGGTCCATGAGAAAGCAGATGACTTGGGCAAAGGTGGAAATGATGAAAGTACAAAGACAGGAAACGCTGGAAGCCGCCTGGCCTGTGGTGTGATTGGGATAGCCCAGTAAACATTCCCTACCATGTGGTCTGGTTTCAGTAACTCATCTGCTATCCTGCTAAGCTGTAGAAACACATTAAACTGTAATCTTAAAAGTGTAACTGACTTTGATTGCTTTAGGGACTTGTAATGAGAACTGATCTATGATCACTTGGAAGATCTGTATAGTTTTATAACTCATTGATATAAAAATGTCTGTTTTAATGTGTTTCTGAATTTTGTCACATACGCCATTAAATCAAATTTCATTCTCACTCAACCTGAGTAAACAGCTTGTTAATGTGTCCAAATAAAAATCTAAGGTAGCTCTGATGCACATTTATTCATTGAGCTTCAACAGAATAGATTTAGTAACAATTTCATAGCATTCCATTTTGAAAGTATTTTGGGTGAGGCCATCAAAATGTATGAAGTTTTAGCAGGTAGTCTGACTGTGGCAGCCCTTCAATAGGCTGCCCTTTGTCTAAATTTCACTGTTGAGACTTAGAAAGTACCTAATTTTATTTTAAAAGTTAGATGTCATGATTTAAGAAAAAGCCCTTCGGTAACTCGTATTGAACTTGTAAAAAGCAAATCTACAGCCTTAGCCAAGGTTAACTTACCAACCTACTCTACTTTCCAAAGTGAAGCTGACACAATGTTTTGAGATTGGCCCTCTGTAGAAATATACTGCAGCACTGGAAGACGAAACCAAGGAAATGTTTGACTGTAGGTTCTGGCTATTTAAATATTGACTTTACATCCTTCGTTAATGAAGCAGTCTTTCTTAATGTGTACCCCGAAAGAATGCTTTAAAGGAAATGTTAATCTAATGCATTTGTGACTCAGGGGTAGCTTGTTTAGTTGAAAGCTGAGTATTTGTGACAAATCAGGAGTAAGCTGTAGCCGTGTTCATTCATAAATACATACGTTTTCAATGTATTGGGAGACTGCTAAATTGGAGAACAAATTTTAGTGTGTGCAAGTTTTGAAACTGCTAATAAAGATGTTTGTAATGGTTATAATGACCTTTCGGGTAAATATGTAATGGAGTTCTTTAATGTGGTTTGTTGCATGAGTGAGTGGGGGGACTCAGTCTAACTTGGAATCCTCCCGTGTAGTCACAATAGCAGTTGGGTACCTTTCAGCTTTTTCATTAACATTTTTAGTTGGCTATACAAGCCGAGTCTGTCCTTCAAATCTGGGTATTGTTTAATCAGGTGTGTTTCTTTCCAGAAGCATTTTCTGTGAGGACTTAAAAACGAAAGCTGGGTCAGCGTAAAACTAAGGACAGATTTTTAAATTTAAGTCCACAAAAAGGAAACTGGGTTAGGCACTAAACATAATTCTCTCAATAAAGCAGCTTCACCTATGGGGGTGGGGAGGCTTGGGTGTATGCCGGTGTGCCTCACATGAGCATGTGGTGGTTGGGAAAACGCAACCACCTGTCTGCACCACGTGGGTCCCAGAGATGAAACTCAGGTCATCAGGCTTGGCAGCAAGTACCTTTACCTGCTGAGCCATCTTGCTGGCCCTTAAGAGTATTATGAGAGTGATTAAAAGAAGAAAGCTTCCATACACTATTAACTTGGACTGTTAGATCTTGGCACTGGACCAAGACCTTTCAATACAATTAGATACAGGCCTGGTCTGGTTTCACATGTTTACACATTGTGGCAAAAAGTTCAGTGAGCTTCTGCCTAGTTTGGGAATTTAAAAAGATGGTAATGGCAATAGTCAAGGCTTAAACACTGTTATACTTTAAGTCTTTATATGAAGAATAAAAACTTTGAGGTTGCGAATGTTAACCTTGATCTTTTACCCTTAAAAAACTGATGGGTTGATTATAAACAAAACACTCAACCTAAATAATGCCCAAGCAATCAGGTAATTTGTAGTACAATGTGTAATGTGGGAATCCAATCATTTCCCCTAGCAAATTCTCTTTACAAATTAGGGCAGCATTACCATAAAGCCAACAGAAAAAGAATCCTGATTGAAATGCAAACACAAGCTTTTTAACATTAAGATCACTAATCTTTACCTTATGATTAAAATACTAAAAGAATTACAAATCAGTGTTTGCAAGCACTACATAAGTCTTCCATCAAACAAGTCTAATTTAGACTCAAACATTAACAGTTCAAACTTTGATGGTGAACAATCCTTTTCCACCTTAATGCAGTGTAGGAAGAATAGCACACATTAAAGTTTGTTACGAAAATAGAGTTTATTAAAAACATCCCTATTGTTTGAGCTTTAACCATTACCTTGTCTTAAATTAAAAAAAAAAAAAATAGAGAGCACTTCTAATTACGATTTGTAAACTTTTTAAAGTCAAAACTTTTAAAAAGTTACAGCAAAAAGGGTCATATTCATATCTTCAGTATTTTTGTTATTTTGTGGCTATTCTTAAATAGAAGGGAAGCAATCAAATTGCTTACAATTCCCCACCAACTACTGCGGGGCTGATCTAGCAGGAGCAGTATAATACAGCATCTGTACACCTCAAGCTCTACACTCCACAAGTGTCACTGTCACATTGTCAATTCCAGTCTCTAGCGAGGAGCCTCGGCTGCTGAGCCAGAATTCTTCTCGGCTTCAACGGATGAGGTAGCCTCAGCAGGCGACTCTTCAGGTTTTACCCCTGCGGCCGTGGTCTCCCCCTTATCAAGTTCTGAAACAGTGTCTGTGTTTCCCACTTGGCTAAGGGGAGGTTCCACGGCTTTGTTACCACCTGCCCTATCTATCGCCTCCGGCTTTTCCTTTCCTCGATTTTCTTCCTTCTCTCTACGAGACTCTCTATCTCTGGAATCTCTGTCTCTGTCTCGATGCCCACTAGAGCGTCTATTTCTCTCTTCCAAGTCTCTGTGCCTGTCCCGGTCAGGGCTCCTCCTTCCCCACTCTCTCCTTTCACGGGTACTATTATTCTCTCTATCATCATTACGGTTCCCATACCGTTCCCGGTCATTTTCCACCCTATTTCCGAAAGATCTTCTTCCAAACCTTTCTTGGTCTCTACCTGAATTGAACTGCCTGTTATCATTTCTAAACTGCTGTGGCTGCTGCTGCTGCGGCTGCTGCTGCTGCTGAGCTGGTGGTGGCTGTTGTGATGGTGGCGGCTGCTGTGGCTGTGACTGTGGTGGAGGTTGTTGCTGTGGCTGTTGCTGTTGCCGTCCATCTCTGTCTTCAGGACCTCCGGGGCCTGGCCCTGGACCCCCAAGCCCTGGCATTCCACCAGGCCTAACGAAGGGGCCATGTGGTGGAAAGGGCCCTTTCATTCCATGAGGTGGAGGCATTGCGAAGCCCCCGGGTCCTGGTGGTGGACCTCTGTGCATCATGTGCGGTGGCATGGGGCGAGGTGGCATCATGGGAAACCTCTGTAAATGAGGTGGAGGCATTCCTGGGGGACGTTGGAGTGGGATCATGCCAGGTCGGGCACCAAGAAGACCAGTAGATGGTGCCTGGAGCCCACATACAGGACCAGGTGCAACTCCTTGAGTGCCTGAAAGAAAATGAAAATGTTAAGTGCCACAGAGGATGATTTTTCTATTTTCAGCTCTTCTCTGTAGAATTTTTGTAAGGCAAAAGAAAATTCAATCCAGAATCAGTTCCACACTGAACTCATGCTGAATGCCAATCTGTCACCAACCCCATGTGACAGCCGGTGACATCAAAGGCAATCAATTGCAAAGACTCATGGTTTAAATAGCTAGTACAGAGGCCAAAAAAGACACTGAAGGAGGAAACTATATTCCCATTTTTGAAGAGTATGTCAGTCTCCTCGGACTCTCTCAGAAGCTGTTTATCACTCCAAACAATCATCTGAGAAGCAGTGTACTAAAGTCTCAATGAGATAAAAGCCTGTTTGCTGTCAGCTAGTCAAGATGACAGAAGAGTATGTCAGGTATTCACAGCAAAATTTTACAACCAGATACTAAGCCTTTATTAGACTTCCTACCCTGAAAAGGTCAATGACTCAATGTCTAGTAAAGGAGGACACCAATTTCAAGTTACATTTCATACTGGTGTGCACCACGTACTCAAATTTATAGTGCAGAGATTCATATACAAATGAAGTTTATTTTAAATTTCTTTTTCCAAGCACAGTGGAAAGTATACTCTTGTAGGTCAACAAGACTGAGACTGGTAAATACTGTGGAATCCTCAGCTGTACACCTTTTACTCCTTCCAAAGGCAGCAAGACAGATAAAGTAGGTGCTGTTCAAAGTCACAATCATTCACAAGAAAGCCTGTTCATTCTGGCTTAAGAATCATACAAGTTCAACAATCCAGTATTTATAACTGTAGGGGAAAGATGTTTTGATTCTCTTTATGAAACGAATGACATCTCTTCCATAAACATCACAAGGCACTATGACCAAAAGTTAACTAATTACAGAAAAGGCTCTAGACAGTAATGGGTAACAGATGTATTGCCCGTGTACCACAGGAAAGTTTTTGAGCAAGTTATGGGTCATGACAATCAGCTGATAATGGTCAGAAGTGCTCGTGTGACACTGACAGAAACACGATCCAATAGTTTACTAATCTTAGCTTTCCCCCCTAACGTGATACTTGGTTTACAACTTGAAAAGACTGTCCATCCACCACAGAAAAAAAGTCATGCATGTCCTTACAGTTTCTGTACAAGGGTACTAATGATGAAACAGAATTCCTACTTCAGTTTTTGCTCATCATAGTGTGAGCCAGTATTTGGTCCTGCTAAACCATGAAGTGGTTTTAGAAATCCAAGTACATCAGTTTATAATACTCTTAACATGAAGACTCCGTCACACTGTTTATTTAAACAAAATCCTTCTAAGTACCTAAAGATGAACATATATAACCTTATTCAGGAGTGGTATTTGATAGGCACTTGAGTATTCTGGTCTACAAAAAGGGCAATACAGCCGGGCATGGTGCCACACGCCCTTAATCCCAGCACTCGGGAGGCAGAGGCAGGCAGATCTCTGTGACTTCAAGGCCAGCCTGGTCTACATAGTGAGTTCCAGGAGAGCTGGGCTACTGGGAGACCCTGTCTCAAAATGACCAAAAAAAGAGTAGTAATACCTGCCACTTAAAAGTATCTGACTAGGAGTTCAGTGCCTGCTCAGACAAATGTTATTATTCCATAAATTTTGTTCAGAAAGGTGATATTCTGGCATATATATTTCATTTAACAAAACTTTTTTTTTTTTGTCTTTTTGAGACAGGGTCTCCCTGTAGCTCCAGCTGTCCTGGAACTATGTAGGCCAGGCTGCCCTCGAACTATTTAAAAAATATTTTTATAATATGGAGGATAAAAATTTGCCTATTGCATTTGGCCGGGCATAGTGGCACACGCCCTTAATCCCAGCACTCGGGAGGCAGAGGCAGGCAGATCTCTGTGACTTCAAGGCCAGCCTGGTCTACATAGTGAGTTCCAGGAGAGCTGGGCTACTGGGAGACCCTGTCTCAAAATGACCAAAAAAAGAGTAGTAATACCTGCCACTTAAAAGTATCTGACTAGGAGTTCAGTGCCTGCTCAGACAAATGTTATTATTCCATAAATTTTGTTCAGAAAGGTGATATTCTGGCATATATATTTCATTTAACAAAACTTTTTTTTTTTTGTCTTTTTGAGACAGGGTCTCCCTGTAGCTCCAGCTGTCCTGGAACTATGTAGGCCAGGCTGCCCTCGAACTCACAAAGATCTGCCTGCCTCTGTCTCCCAAGTGCTGGGATCAAAGGCATGAGCCACCACACCTGGCAAACAAAGCAAATGCTTTAAACATGCCCATTCAGATCTGAATCTCTTCTGTTCCATCACACTTTAAAGTCAAGTTTAGTACCTGGCAATAATTTGAAGTCAATGAGGCTCCCCATGTGAGGTGTTAAGTTGAAGCCTTGGTCATCTCTGTGAGAGGCCAGGCCCTGTGAAAATGGTAAATGTGCTGACAACTTTCAGAATGTCTGGAGAAAAGTCCCAGAAGAAACATACAACAAACATCTAGACTACTCAAACTGAAATGAAATTTGGTGGCAAACTGAAGCATTCTTTACAGTTTAGTGAGCACTGAGTGCACACCACACCAAAACACCGAAAGCATGTCCTTCTTGCTTCTTAAAGGAACACTATGGTCCCTGGCATCTGTGGATTTAACTCCCAATATGGAAGACACATACTCAGGTACAGCCTCTGTTTATTAATAGAGGTCTTACTTAGAAGCATTAACACCAATGTGACTCAATGGTAGAGTACTTGCCTAGCACTAAAGACCCAAGGTTTGATACCCAGCACCATGAGGATGGGGATGAAGGGACCAAAAAATTCCATCAGACTTTATTTTTGCCACCAGCTTTTATCAGGAAAAGCTCGTTTCTAAGGACTAGGAGGGCCGATGTTTACCGTTAGGGAGGTTGGTACGCATGCTCTGATGCTCATCTACACAGTCAACAGGGCAAATGCCAGATTTCTGAATGATGGGAAAAGTGAAGGTTGTTCTCAAAATGCTCTAGTAAGGTAATTCAGATAAGTTTGTGAAAGAAAAGATGGAATCTTGCAGAGAAGGTCCTGTTCCTCACCTCCCCAGCACCAACCTGTGGCTAGAGGATGCAAGGCCAACTCTAGCTTATACAGGAGACACAGGGGACAATGTTAAACAAGCCTCAGTCCCTAGGACAACGCATAAATCCTTCATGGGGTGCATTTGAGGGTATGTAGGGATTAACTGGCCAGTATTTGCAGTAAGCTTGTATTTAAACCTCTTATACAGTAAAAAAAAAATTTCTTTTCTTTTGGATGTGTGGATGTTTCTATTTGGCATCTGTTCTATTATACAAACTGATCCTTTACATTTTGTTACTAGGTAGATGTCAGGAATCAATGTCCTTACGCTTTTGAAAACCAACAAAATTTATAATTTCCTTACATATCAATTGGCCCTCAGATGGTTTTCCTTCCTTATCTGTAGATTTTTTTTTTTTTGTTTTTCAGTAAACATATTACTTCTATAATAAAAAGATTTAGTTAAAAATTTGTCAGGTGGTAGAATCCTTCAGTAGGCACACAGGTAAATATTAACTTTTACTAGGGAAGATTTAGGCTGGCATTATGTATACACCAGTGAAATAGAGAATTTTCCAGGTCAAAAGGGCAGGCAAATCAGTAACTAGTTTTATCTGGAGTAGGCTGTATCATTGCAATTTCAATAAGTTTTGTATAGTTATAAATTTAAAAAATTCATACACCCAACATCTGAATTTTTAACTCATTTCACACACTGGGGATAAAAATAAATCTTCCTTTCCTTCAAAGAAAGCCATGTCTACTAGAAGCCAATTTTAATTCTTATAGATGACACAGGCTAGATGGCTGACAGGCAGTGTGTGAACTTGATCTGGAATCACAGAAGAGGCCTGGGTTGGGTGTGACAGGACAGGCAGAAAGAACACACAAGGCCAGCATGGATAGGGAAAAGCATGACCTGACAGCTTTTGAAACAGCTTAGCACCCTGGTGATGCAGTGGGCACGTTACTCAGGTAACTGCAGCAGAATGACTGGATGCAAACAGAATCTAGATGAGGCTTGAGGCCAACCCAGCAGCCAAGGCAATTCAGGGACGTTTTATGACATAAGAAACTTGGACTTTTATTGGAGCAATGAAAGAAACCAGAAAAGAATCCTGGGCAGACCGATGATCCATTTGTTCTGACCAATAGCACACAGAAAGCAATGAGAGGGAGGGCAGTGCAGAGTAATTAGGCTCTTACTCCCAAGAATCTCAGTGTCAACATGTTCAACTGCAAGACAGGAGCTAGGGTGGGAGACACACTAAGAACATTTACTGGGCTGAGTTTGAGATTAAGACACATGGACCTCTGCTTTGAATGTGTGGATGAAGGGGTTAATAGAAGGCCAAGAATGGGAAAGAGGGCAACTTGAGGCAAATTTTGGGTGGCAACAGAATTAAAAGTTCCAGAACTGCTGTGGTGGAAGCGTGTGTAAGCAGCAGGCCATGTGCATACATAGGGCTCGGCAGAGCAGCAGCAGTGCTAATGCTGGCCAAAAAACTGAGTACAGAGCTGGGGAAACAACTCATTAGATATACACAGAAATTTCTAGTAAAGCCAGATTTGCGGGCAGATTTAAAAAAAAAAAAAACCAAACCAAAAAACAAAAACCCTGACATCTGTGTTCAGTTTTGACAAGAAATGCATCAGAATCCAGGCATGGTGGGACACATCTATAATCCCAGACCTCACAGTGTAGAGGCATGAGGATGGTGGGCTCCAGGATAACCAGGGCTATCTAGCAAAACTCTCATAAAACGAAGGACTTTAATTCAAAATAACCAAACTGGCTCATTTTCTATGATGATCCCCCCAAATGGTTACTTCTCAATTAGAATGTAAAGGGGAGGCATTATGGCTAACAGTGAGGTAAAGCTCTATGAATGGGTTGTGGAGAGGGGATGGGGGGAGGTAGAGCTCACGGAGACTAATGTGCACTTTGCAATCTC